TAATACAACCCTCCCCATTCCCCTCTCCATCTCACCCACATTTCTTCACATCCACTCACCCGTCTCCCAACACACCTCTTCAGAACAAACACAAAAATCACATTTCACATCCACAAATGCATCTCATCACCCATCTCAAATCCACTAAAATCACTGTAACCAAGATATTCACAAAATTCTATGACCAACTAGCACACACAGACAACTCACTTTACTTTGAACACCTTCAAAACACTCTCATACATCATCATTTGAGACTACCTTTTCTCAATATCTCTTAAGAAATATTCTCTCGTCGACAACCTTTATCATCTAACTACAGAACAACCCACAGATTACTTCGAACACTCTCATAAATCATTTGAATACTCACATAAACAAATTTGGACATTTTCCAAACACTGAAACATTTCCAAGTCAACATTTTGATTACTCCCAAATAAGATTTGACATCTCTAATTTATCTACACTTACATATTTCAAAAAATTAAAACTCCCCCCCAAACTCCTCCCTCTTTCTCCAGATTTTTACAACTATCAAAAAAACTAACTCATCATTTATGTCATGAGACATTACCAACACTTAACAACACACACAACAACACACACACACAAAAACACACACACACACACACACACCACAACACACACACACACCAGGAGCTAGGATCGACCCCTGCAACCAAAAATAGGTGAGTACAACACACACACCAACACACACACACACCATTTACTTTTTACAACCCCAAAAAACTCATAAATTACCTTTGATTATTTCCAAAAAATCATTTAACACTTCAAAAACACACAAACCCCTTTTGAATACTCCCAAAACACCACGAATACTCCCAAAAACAGCACCAAATACTGCCCAAACAACCTAAAAATCACCAAAACAAGATCAACACCACCAACTAACCCCATTTTATAAAAAATCCCCTCAAATCATATAACCAAGACGATCCCACTCACCCAGACATTAATAACATACGAAAAAAAAAAAAAACACTCAAAATCATTTGAATACTCAAAAAAAACCCCCTTTTGAACATTCCAAAAAACACCGTAACCTACAGCAGGACACCACCAAGAAAACATAACATTACACACAAAAAAAAAACTAAACATCCCTCAACTACATCAAACCACTCATTTTTTTAAAAATTTTGCACAAAAAATCACAACACCAAAACCCCCAATATCTAATACCTCCTCCACTACCCCCAAACCCCTCTCCAGGAAACCCAGGGAAACCACCAACACTACCAGCACAGATAGGGGTACCTCCCATGACACACACTCCATCCTTTTTTACTTGACGACGTCCAACCCCCCTTTTACTTTTATTTAATTATTGAGAGGAATCCCTTGTTTTTAAACCTTTTTCCTCCAAAACTAAATCCCCAAACAAAACTTTACCAAATTCTATAATCCCCCCCACTAAGATCACACATTTTTTACAATTTTCTAAAAAAATCATCATAACAAAAAATCACTAAAACATCATACTTTTACTAAGATCCAAAACATTTGTCTTCTCTAACTCACTCCCAATTTACATTCTCATTCACACTACACATTTCATTTTCCGAAATTCATCTCATCCACCAAAATCCCCACTCATCTCCAGATTTACAACATTTGCACAAAAAAAAAAACTAACTCTAAAACATAAACATAACATTTTCCCCCAAATAACACACTGACTAACTTTGAACCAACTCTGAACACACCAAAAAAACCACTGAACATCTTTAAAAAAACTCTGCAAAATCATTTAACACCTTCAAAAACACCATCAAAACCCTCCGAATACTCTCAAAACACTCTGATTTCTACCAAAACACCATGAATACAACCAAACACCGTCAAAATCACCAAGAAACTAATTTTTACATCACCCTCACCCTTTCATAGAAATTTTTTAAATTGGGGTTTTTTTTTGATGTTATCTTTTTTATGGTGATTTTGTGGGGTTTTGAAAGAATTCAGGTGTATTAGAAATCTGTTATTTGGATATTCATGATTTATGAGAGTGTTTTGAAGGGGTTTAAAAAGATTGAAGAGATTTATGAGGGGTTTCTGGAGCATTCATGGGGATTGGGGTTTTTCGAATGATGTTTTTGGGGATTCAAAGGTATTGAAGGTGTTTTTGGTGTTTTTCAAAGAAAGTGTTTTTAGTTAGTTTTTTTTGATACTGTTGTAAAAATCTGGGGAATGAGGGAAGAGTTTGGGTAGTGAGTTGTAATTTAATGAAATAATATAAGTGTAGATAAATTAGAGATGTCAAATCTTATTTAGGAGTATTCAAAATGTTGTCTTGGAAGTGTTTCGGTGTTGTTTGGAAATGTTCAAAGGTATTTTTTTGTGAGTATTTAATGATTTATGAGTTTGTTTTGAAGGTGTTCAAAGTAAAGTGAGGTGTGTGTGTGTGTGTGTGTGTGTGTGTGTGTGTGTGTGTGTGTGTGTGTGTGTGTGCATGTGTGTGTGCTTATTAACTTCGTAATATGTAAAATTGTGACTAGTGAATTTATCGAAAGTGGTTATAAGTTGTAAGTGTTGTGATGACTTTTTCTGATGAAATAGTTAAAACGAGAAAAATGTCTAGACTTGAGGAGAGTGAATCTTTTGTAAAGAAATTGTGGATTGTTGTGGGTATTAACGAAAAAATGTGGAATTATTTGGGTTATCCTGAGTTAAGAGTGAAAATGTGTAATGTTTTCCCTATGTTGTATATGAAATGTATAATATTGAGATGGTGACGACGAAGATGATCCAGAACAAAATGCATAGAATTTCTTCAAGAGAAAAAGAATTACTCTATGTTGATTTTAGTCAATGAATTGTACCTTTTTTCAATTAATTTTTTGTTGGATGTATATGAAATGCATTGGTTGTATAATAAATAAATAAATGAAAATATTGTGTATTAGTGTTATCCTGCATTTTAAGTTATTGTCTGCTCGACAAGATTCAGCCTGTGTGTGTGGTCATCACGTGACGCCACTGACATAGGGGGAAGTCGACAAGATTCAGCCTGTGTGTGTGAGGTCATCACATGACGTCACTGACCGCCGAGTAAACACAGGTGGGGTGACATCACACTTGTTTAGACCTGTAGTAAGAGAAAGTACCATGCCCCATAGAGGGAGTTCATTTGAATGCTTACCCCTAGAGGGGGGAATCCAAAAATCTTGATCCAAGGAGTTGGAGCAGAAATTTTGGGGTAGAAGTGGATGATGGGGGAAATCTTTGTATTATTGATATCGAGAAAAACTTGATCCGAGGAGATCGTAAGAATTTCGAAACCCCATAGGGGGGAATCCAAAAACTTGATCCGAGGAGTTGGAATCTTTGTATTATTGATATCGAGAAAAACTTGATCCAAGGAAGTAGAGCAGGAATATTTGAGGTAGAAGTGGGTGGTGGGAGGTGTGGGGGGAAAATCTTTGTATTACTGATATCGAGAAAAACTTGATCCGAGGAGATGGAGCAGGGAATTTGGGATGCAAGTGGGAGTCCATTTTGAATGCTTATCCCCAGAGGGGGGAATCCAAGGAGATGGAGTCTTGGTATTATCGAGAAAAACTTGATCCAAGGAAGTAGAGCAGGAAAATTTAGGGTGAAAGTGGGAGTCCATTTTGAATGCTTACCCCCAGAGGGGGGAATCCAAAAACTTGATTCGAGGAGAGCACAAAAAAATAAAAAAATTCAAAAAAATTTGGGATGGGGGTGAAAGTGGGAGGGGAACCTCAAAAAACTTGATCTGAGGAAGTGGAGTCTTTGTATTATTGATATCGAGAAAAACTTGATCCAGGGAGATGGAGCAGGAATTTTGGGATGGAAGTGGGTGGTGGGAGGGGTACCCATAGGGGGAAACCCAAAAAATTTGATCCGAGGAGATGGAGAGCACAAGAAAATGAAATTCAAAAAAAAATTCGAAAAAATCGGAAAAAATTCGGGGGTGGGGGCGATCCAGATGACGCTGCAGAAGGCGCGGGGGGGGTGCGGGGAGGGCGCGGGGGCGGCCGCCGGTCGGGGCGGGCACGCAGGCGGGGCACACGGGCGCGGGGTGGGGGGCGTGGGTGGGGGGTTGAGGGCGAGGTGGTTGAGGGCGAGGTGGTCGAGGGTGAGGTGGTCGAGGGTGATGTGGTCGAGGGTGAGGTGGTCGAGGGTGATGTGGTCGAGGGTGATGTGGTCGAGGGTGAGGTCAAGGTCATTTGCATAAAGGTGTGAAAAGGAGTCCGCTCAGCCGCAGACCTTTCGGGAGACCGCTGAGAGGAGACCGTACCGTGGAGACCATACTGTGGGAGCCGCTCTGTAGAAATCATCACTACTAGTATTGTACTATGTACTACTGTATCTTGAAGAAATAAAAGTTTGTATAATTGTCATTTGCTTGTCAAAGGTCACATTAAGAAACAACCTTTTAGTGTTATACAATAATGTCAAACAACGGCGGGAACCTCTTATAATGAGCCTTAACCTCCCCTCACTCCCCTGCCCTCCTTTCTTTGGTTCCTGTGACATTCAATAAACGCTAAACCCGTATGGATGACGATAAATGGTTCAAAGAACCGACAAGTTGATAAATTAGACACATGTGCAACACTTGATTCTTATCAAGATTACATCGACTCTAGGGTGAGGGACTGATTACCTCAATCTCCTTCTGATCTTCACTATTTTTTCTCTGTACTGGACTAATGAAGCTACTGTGTGGCGAAAAAGTTGCATATGTATCTGATATATCAAGAGTATGGATAACACAGCACGGACCCCCCCCCCCCTTTCCCCATTATGTCACTGACTCAGCACAGCTCCGTCACTTGAATACATAAGGGAGGTTTCTTAATACTGGTGAAGGGCGTTTCATTCATGGAAGTGAAGCTACCCTTTCCTTCCCTGGATTAAACCTGATTACCTCCCACTGCCCCGGTGCTGTATGTCCCTTGTGAGTTTAGAGCTTCCCCATGAATATAACGAGGTTATTGGCGTACCTGTGTCTCTGGTGCCTGGTTTGGGTGGCGGAGGTGGAGAAGCTGCCGCAGGCGGCAGGATTCTCTTTACATCTTGGTGGCTTTTTTTTCCATCTTCCTTTTCCACGGGACTTTCTTGTGGTTCCTCCACCGCCACTTTCCGTTCAGCTTCCGTAGTTTCATTCTCGGGATCCACAGACTCTCCGGATAAATCCATCGTTGGACCATCGTCAGAAGCAGCGGTTACTATGTTGCTGAACTGAAAATCCTTTCCCACATCGATGTCCCTCGCTGGAGGACTGTGTGCCACTCTCGCTGGAGGACTGTGTGTGACCCTCGCTGGAGGACTGTGTGTGACCCTCGCTGCATTCAGAACTTTCTCCTCTTCTTCTATTATTTTGTCGTGCACATTGCTGCCTATTCTGAAGGTGGTGTTGCCGAGCGAGTGTGGTTGTTGTTGTTCTTCTGCAGGCGGGTCAGAGGTCGACCTGGATGACACGATGGTCATGTCTTCGTCACCATTCTCGTTGATGAGTGCTGGACTCATGTTGGATGTCCCTGACGAGTTCTGTAAAACATAACAGGAATCAACACTTGAGACACAACAAGACTCAACACATGTTATTATTGTTCTCATTATATCTCCCCAAAGTTTCCCTTCTCCAATGTTCTCCATGACCCACACGGGTTTACCACTTTTAATATACAAGTAATAATAATTCAGTAGAACACACACACAGACTACATTCTCTTTTTCCTTTCTATATACATAAAATATTCTCAAAAAAGTACCACTTTCACTATTAGTACTTAAAGGCAAGATTAAATTGTAGATATACTTTGAGGTAGTGATGAGGATCGTGGTGGTGAGGTTGTCTAGTGAAGTATGGGACGAGAGCTCAGCAGGGCGGGTGGCACTGGTGATAACAGTGTGGGAGACTCGCGTCCTTCAGAGTTCTCTCCTGAAACATACAGGTTCAGTTCCAGTGAGTGACTTAACGTTGGTGAAAGGCTTTTGATACTTGGAATTAGAGCTATCCAAATAACTCGCACATAGGAGTAATAAACTTATGACGACATTTCGGTCCGATTTGGACAATTAACTAGTCACACACTAACACACGAAGGTAAGGAGTCAGTATATATTCGCGAGGAGGGAGGCAGAAAGATAAAAAATTTGTGGAGATAGTACTGGAAGAGGTAGTGGGAGTAGCAGTAGTAGTTATAGTGGGTAGAGGGAATAGTAGTAGTGGCACAAGTCAAAGAGTGTAGTGAAGCGAGGTGGTAGTAGTAGTAGTAGTAATAGTAATAGTCTAAGAACAAGAAAAAGAACACTGCGGGAGAGCTAATGACCCACGAGGATGAAAACCAAAATAACACATAGGACAGAACACACCTAGACAGAAGAAAGGAAAGCAAACATATAGGAAAGGAGAAGAGATAAGGCGAGGAGATAAAGTTTGGAGCATTTGACAGTGTAATGAGAAAGGAAGGCATCTACAGACACAAAGCCAGGACTAGGATTCACATGAGGAAAGTTGTGTATAAGGGATTCTTTCCTCATATGAATCTTAGTTGTGGCTTTGTTTCTACAGATTAGATACCTGCCTTTCTCTTTACATTATCAAATGCTCCAAACTTCAGGACACTCATGACTTGACCTGATCTTTATATCCTCGCCTTACCTCTTCCCCTTTCCTATATTTTCTTTGCTTTCCTTTCTTCTATCTAGGTGTGTTCTGTCCTATGTGTGTTTTCCCTTGTTTTTAGTCTCATCCTCGTGGGCCATTAGCTTTCCTGCAGTTTTCTTTTTTATTGTTCTTAGACTACCTCTACTACTACTACTACTGCTGCTACCACCTCGCTTTACTAAACTCTCTGACTGTTGTTCCTCTCCTACTTCTCCTACCCACTACAACTACAACTGCTACTCACACTACTATCTCCATTTCCTTCTTTTCATCTTTCTACCTCTTTCTCCAGTCCCTGCTCTCCTTGCGTATATATCCTAACTCCCTTACCTTCGTGTGTTAGTGTGTGACTAGTTAATGGTCCAAGTCAGACTGAAATGTCATCATAAGCTTCTTTCTATGTGTGGTTATTTGTGTATTGTTCCAGTCATAGTATTGTGACTATTTTTAAAAATACCTCTTCCACATTTCTCTGAACCTGATTCTCTCTCATTCCCCAGGTTCAATATGATCAATATGGGTTAAAAGTGCTTTTCTACGAACATAAGCCAACCTCTGCTTAACGAACGTTTGCAGAACATAATTTCAAGAAACGACTAGAAAAAAATTAATACCACTCTGCACTCCCATAATGACCTCTTGCCAGGTTGTGTTGGTCAGGTGGAACAAAGTCGTGAGGTGAATGAGGACGTGGTGGTGTGGTGGCGGCTCCATGGAGTGGGAGTGACAACTCCACTTCCTGACTCTCTCCCCATACCTCCCGGTAATTCTCAGCACCTCCCTCACCTCCATCATCACCGTCTTTGCCTCTTCCCATCTCTAACGCCCTGTAGGTAAAGTTACTTTAATTTCACGAATGAGAATTTACATAATAATAATAATAATAATAATAATAATAATAATAATAATAATAATAATAATAAAAGAGAAGTTTTTTTTTGCATTTATGGATTTAGAAAAGGCATATGATAGAGAGGATAGGGGAGCAATGTGGCAGATGTTGCAAGTATATGGAATAGGTGGTAAGTTACTAAATGCTGTAAAGAGTTTTTATGAGGATAGTGAGGCTCAGGTTAGGGTGTGTAGAAGAGAGGGAGAATACTTCCCGGTAAAAGTAGGTCTTAGACAGGGATGTGTAATGTCACCATGGTTGTTTAATATATTTATAGATGGGGTTGTAAAAGAAGTAAATGCTAGGGTGTTCGGGAGAGGGGTGGGATTAAATTATGGGGAATCAAATACAAAATGGGAAATGACACAGTTACATTTTGCTGATGATACTGTGCTTATGGGAGATTCTAAAAAAAATTGCAAAGGTTAGTGGACGAGTTTGGGAGTGTGTAAAGGTAGAAAGTGAACATAGAAAAGAGTAAGGTGACGAGGATATCAAATGATTTAGATAAAGAAAAATTGGATATCAAATTGGGGAGGAGGAGTATGGAAGAAGTGAATGTTTTCAGATATTTGGGAGTTGACGTGTCAGCGGATGGATTTATGAAGGACGAGGTTAATCATAGAATTGATGAAGAAAAAAAGGTGAGTAGTGCATTGAGGTATATGTGGAGGCAAAAAACGATATCTATGGAGGCAAAGAAGGGAATGTATGAAAGTATAGTAGTACCAACACTCTTATATGGGTGTGAAGCTTGGGTTGTGAATGCAGCAGCGAGGAGGCGGTTGGAGGCAGTGGAGATGTCCTGTCTAAGGGCAATGTGTGGTGTAAATATTATGCAGAAAATTTGGAGTGTGGAAATTAGGAGAAGGTGTGGAGTTAATAAAAGTATTAGTCAGAGGGCTGAAGAGGGGTTGTTGAGGTGGTTTGGTCATTTAGAGAGAATGGATCAAAGTAGAATGACATGGAGAGCATATAAATCTATAGGGAAGGATGGCGGGGTAGGGGCCGTCCTCGAAAAGGTTGGAGGGAGGGAGTAAAGGAGGTGTTGTGGGCGAGGGGCTTGGACTTCCAGCAGGCGTGCATGAGCCTGTTAGATAGGAGTGAATGGAGACGAATGGTATTTGGGACCTGACGAGCTGTTGGAGTGTGAGCAGGGTAATATTTAGTGAAGGGATTCAGGGAAACAAGTTATTTTATATAGCCGGACTCGAGTCCTGGAAATGGGAAGTACAATGCCTGCACTTTAAAGGAGGGGTTTGGGATATTAGCAGTTTGGAGGGATATGTTGTGTATCTTTATACGTATATGCTTCTAAACTGTTGTGTTCTGAGCACCTCTGCAAAAACAGTGATTATGTGTGAGTGTGGTGAAAGTGTTGAATGATGAAAGTATTTTCTTTTTTGGGGATTTTCTTTCTTTTTTTTGGGTCACCCTGCCTCGGTGGGAGACGGCCGACTTGTTGAAAAATAATAATAATAATAATAATAATAATAATAATAATAATAATAATAATAATAACTTATTTCTACAAGTACATGATACAACTTATACAGACCATAGCTGACATCAGTGACATACTATATAGAAAGTTCCTGGTTATGTAGAACATTTCCCGCAACTGAGATTATTTTTGTTCCCAGGATGCGACTCACACCAGTCGACTAACACTTTATTTGAATTATACATCATAGAGGGTCAATAATCCAGGAAAAGAACCATCATGTAGTTTCTGTGATATTTTGAATCTGTAGACGTCCACAAACTGGAAGATTATTTGTTACTGTTCACAAAAAAAATGAATTAATTAAGAAATAGTCCAAACTAATCCGGAAATTGTAAATTACTTCACTGTAAAAAATTAAGATACATGAAATCTTACACAAATGTTGTGTAATGCAATCCTTTATTAACTAAGTTTTTCCCACACAGTTGGCTCTGTCAAATGTGACTTGTTAAAGCCCACTGTGTGGGCGAAACGTCGTTAAAAAAGTATCGCATTTTGCTACATTTGTGTCTTTTTCCCATCGTGTCAGTATTTTATACCATTTAGCTCCACCCTTACTAGGCATCGGCTGCTTGAATGTGACGAGACTGTAGCCTAGTCAGTGAACAATGTTTTATGACATCGGCTGACTGAATGTGACGAGACTGTAGCCTAGTCAGTGAACAATGTTTTATGACATCGGCTGCCTGAATGTGACGAGACTGTAGCCTAGTCAGTGAACAATGTTTTATGACATCGGCTGCTTGAATGTGACGAGACTGTAGCCTAGTCAGTGAACAATGTTTTATGACATCGGCTGCCTGAATGTGACGAGACTGTAGCCTAGTCAGTGAACAATGTTTTTATGACATCGGCTGCTTGAATGTGACGAGACTGTAGCCTAGTCAGTGAACAATGTTTTATGACATCGGCTGCTTGAATGTGACGAGACTGTAGCCTAGTCAGTGGACAATGTTTTATGACATCGGCTGCCTGAATGTGACGAGACTGTAGCCTAGTCAGTGAACAATGTTTTATGACATCGGCTGCTTGAATGTGACGAGACTGTAGCCTAGTCAGTGGACAATGTTTTATCAGTAATAATTTTGCATTTTGATTCTTTTTGAGTGAATCCACATGTTGCATTGAATACACGAGTAGCAGTGTGATGAAACTAATATCTGAAATGACTGTACTCGAAATATCCTAAGAGATATACCGTATTTTCCGGGTATAAGGTGAAAGGGAAAGCCTGGTAAATGTTTTGCACTCTGGTATGATTGTTGATCTTTCTTGTTTATGTCATGAACACATAACCTGGAGTTTACCTGGAGAGAGTTTCGGGGGTCAACGCCCCCGCGGCCCGGTCTGTGACCAGGCCTCCTGGTGGATCAGAGCCTGATCAACCAGGCTGTTGCTGCTGGCTGCACGCAAACCAACGTACGAGCCACAGCCCGGCTGATCAGGAACTGACTTTAGGTGCTTGTCCAGTGCAAGCTTGAAGACTGCCAGGGGTCTGTTGGTAATCCCCCTTATGTGTGCTGGGAGGCAGTTGAACAGTCTCGGGCCCCTGACACTTATTGTATGGTCTCTTAACGTGCTAGTGACACCCCTGCTTTTCATTGGGGGGATGGTGCATCGTCTGCCAAGTCTTTTGCTTTCGTAGTGAGTGATTTTCGTGTGCAAGTTCGATACTAGTCCCTCTAGGATTTTCCAGGTGTATATAATCATGTATCTCTCCCTCCTGCGTTCCAGGGAATACAGGTTTAGAAACCTCAAGCGCTCCCAGTAATTGAGGTGTTTTATCTCCGTTATGCGCGCCGTGAAAGTTCTCTCTACATTTTCTAGGTCGGCAATTTCACCTGCCTTGAAAGGTGCTGTTAGAGTGCAGCAATATTCCAGCCTAGATAGAACAAGTGACCTGAAGAGTGTCATCATGGGCTTGGCCTCCCTAGTTTTGAAGGTTCTCATTATCCATCCTGTCATTTTTCTAGCAGATGCGATTGATACAATGTTATGGTCCTTGAAGGTGAGATCCTCCGACATAATCACTCCCAGGTCTTTGACGTTGGTGTTTCGCTCTATTTTGTGGCCAGAATTTGTTTTGTACTCTGATGAAGATTTAATTTCCTCATGTTTACCATATCTGAGTAATTGAAATTTCTCATCGTTGAACTTCATATTGTTTTCTGCAGCCCACTGAAAGATTTGGTTGATGTCCGCCTGGAGCCTTGCAGTGTCTGCAATGGAAGACACTGTCATGCAGATTCGGGTGTCATCTGCAAAGGAAGACACGGTGTTGTGGCTGACATCCTTGTCTATGTCGGATATGAGGATGAGGAACAAGATGGGAGCTAGTACTGTGCCTTGTGGAACAGAGCTTTTCACCGTAGCTGCCTCGGACTTTACTCTGTTGACGACTACTCTCTGTGTTCTGTTAGTGAGGAAATTATAGATCCATCGACCGACTTTTCCTGTTATTCCTTTAGCGCGCATTTTGTGCGCTATTACGCCATGGTCACACTTGTCGAAGGCTTTTGCAAAGTCTGTATATATTACATCTGCATTCTTTTTGTCTTCTAGTGCATTTAGGACCTTGTCGTAGTGATCCAGTAGTTGAGACAGACAGGAGCGACCTGTTCTAAACCCATGTTGCCCTGGGTTGTGTAACTGATGGGTTTCTAGATGGGTGGTGATCTTGCTTCTTAGGACCCTTTCAAAGATTTTTATGATATGGGATGTTAGTGCTATTGGTCTGTAGTTCTTTGCTGTTGCTTTACTGCCCCCTTTGTGGAGTGGGGCTATGTCTGTTGTTTTTAGTAACTGAGGGACGACCCCCGTGTCCATGCTCCCTCTCCATAGGATGGAAAAGGCTCGTGATAGGGGCTTCTTGCAGTTCTTGATGAACACAGAGTTCCATGAGTCTGGCCCTGGGGCAGTGCATGGGCATGTCATTTATCGCCTGTTCGAAGTCATTTGGCGTCAGGATAACATCGGATAGGCTTGTGTTAATCAAATTTTGTGGCTCTCTCATAAAAAATTCATTTTGATCTTCGACTCTCAGTCTGGTTAGCGGCTTGCTAAAAACTGAGTCATATTGGGACTTGAGTAGCTCACTCATTTCCTTGCTGTCATCTGTGTAGGACCCATCTTGTTTAAGTAGGGGCCCAATACTGGACGTTGTTCTCGATTTTGATTTGGCATAGGAGAAGAAATACTTTGGGTTTCTTTCGATTTCATTTATGGCTTTTAGTTCTTCCCGCGATTCCTGACTCCTAAAGGATTCTTTTAGCTTAAGTTCGATGCTTGCTATTTCTCTGACCAGTGTCTCCCTGCGCATTTCAGATATATTGACCTCTTTTAGCCGCTCTGTTATTCTTTTCCGTCGCCTGTAAAGGGAGCGCCTGTCTCTTTCTATTTTACATCTACTCCTCCTTTTTCTTAGAGGAATAAGCCTTGTGCATACATCGAGTGCCACCGAGTTAATCTGTTCTAGGCATAAGTTTGGGTCTGTGTTGCTTAGTATATCTTCCCAGCTTATATCGGTTAGGACTTGGTTTACTTGGTCCCACTTTATGTTTTTGTTATTGAAGTTGAATTTGGTGAATGCTCCCTCGTGACTAGTCTCATTTTGTCGGTCTGGGGCTCCACGCATACATGTCTGAACCTCAATTATGTTGTGATCTGAGTATATTGTTTTTGATATGGTGACATTTCTTATCAGATCATCATTGTTAGTGAAGATGAGGTCTAGTGTATTCTCCAGTCTAGTAGGCTCTATTATTTGCTGGTTTAAATTGAATTTTGTGCAGAGATTTAAAAGCTCGTGTGAGTGTGAGTTTTCATCAGAGTTGCCTCCTGGTGTTATTACTGCAACAATATTATTTGCTATATTCCTCCATTTTAGGTGCCTTAAGTTGAAATCCCCCAGGAGCAAGATGTTGGGTGCAGGAGCTGGAAGATTTTCCAGACAGTGGTCAATTTTTAACAGCTGTTCCTGGAATTGCTGGGATGTTGCATCCGGAGGCTTGTAGACTACCACAATGACTAGGTTTTGGTTCTCGACCTTTAAGATGACGGATAAATCTTACTGTTTCATGAATACGTAAGATGACAGGTAAATCTTTGTCTCATGAACACGTACGATGACAGGTAAATCTTTGTCTCATGAACACGTACGATGACAGGTAAATCTTTGTCTCATGAACACGTACGATGACAGGTAAATCTTTGTCTCATGAACACGTACGATGACAGGTAAATCTTTGTCTCATGAACACGTACGATGACAGGTAAATCTTTGTCTCATGAACACGTACGATGACAGGTAAATCTTTGTCTCATGAACACGTACGATGACAGGTAAATCTTTGTCTCATGAACACGTACGATGACAGGTAAATCTTTTGTCTCATGAACACGTACGATGACAGGTAAATCTTTGTCTCATGAACACGTACGATGACAGGTAAATCTTTGTCTCATGAACACGTACGATGACAGGTAAATCTTTGTCTCATGAACACGTACGATGACAGGTAAATCTTTGTCTCATGAACACGTACGATGACAGGTAAATCTTTGTCTCATGAACACGTACGATGACAGGTAAATCTTTGTCTCATGAACACGTACGATGACAGGTAAATCTTACTGTCTCATGAACACGTGGCACTGGACAAGCACCTAAAGTCGGTTCCTGACCAGCCGGGCTGTGGCTCGTACGTTGGTTTGCGTGCAGCCAGCAGCAACAGCCTGGTTGATCAGGCTCTGATCCACCAGGAGGCCTGGTCACAGACCGGGCCGCGGGGGCGTTGACCCCCGGAACTCTCTCCAGGTAAACTCCAGTCTTGGAAATCATCCTGCGCCTTATATGCTCAAGGTAAGGCTCGAGTAGACTTTGTTATACTTTATCAGTAGCTTACTAACGTTACGTTACAGCTACTTCCAAACATCGTGCCAGCAAGCAGCCGACACTCGTGCGCCTTATATGCCGGAAAATACGGTAATGAGGATCAGAAAGGTTTGACAGATACGCACTGTAACTTCTGTAATCCTGCCAGCGGTACTGCTCACATCTTGACCTTAGTTTAGTTAGTTGTGTCACCTAGATGGATAGTTTACTGTGCAACCGGAGCTCATCCTGCGAGTGGTAGCGCTAAAGAGCAGAATTGCAGAGGTTATAATGGGTGTTTGTCAGACCCCGTTGAGCAAAGTTACATTACTGGGAAGAAATGTTAGTCATTTCATATTTTACAATTACTTTTTATAGTTGTGCATAGTACAGTAAGGATTCATATGTTTCCTTACACCTGCTGTCCCTGTTTACTTAATAGTAAGTAGGTACCTGGATGTTAGCCGACTGGTGTGGGTCGCATCCTGAGGACAAAATTGACCTAATTTGCGGGAAATGCTGTGCATAACAAAGGGGTTTCTATATAGTAGTATGTCACTGGTATCAACTAAGCATATAAACATTGTACATGTACTTGTAGAAATAAAGATTATTATTAATAACATTGAACTGCATGCAAAAAGACTACCACTGAGAATCAGCTGAATAAGCTACTCTGGCGGCTCGAAGCAAATCAGTAAGAGGCGATTAAAATGCCGGGCCACCCTGACTCAGTGGAAAACGACCGATGTGTTTCAATACTACTACTACTACTACTACTACTAATAATAATAATAATAATAATAATAATAATAACTGGAGGAGGAGGCTACGAGGCGGTACTCACTTAGATTTGGAAGTGTACATAGTACTGTGTCCGGCATCAGAATCAGATGGGTAGTCCCATTGTCCTGACGCCCCATGCTGCTGCTGCTGCTGTTGGTGCTGCTGATGCTGCTGCTTCTGTTGTTGTTGCTGCTGCTGCAGGTGCTGCTGCTGTGGCAACCGATGCTGCATCTGTAGTTATCATTAAGAAGATTGATCAATCATGAATACTTTGGCTCTTTGTGCATTCTTGTGTAATCATTATACTCAAGGGGGAGCACTAAACCCACGGGGATCATATAGCACCTGAGAAATGGAAAACAATCAGAATGAATCCAAAGAAAGGATAGCTGCAGTTCCTTACCCCTTATTTTTACCATTATTATAATATTAATACCGCGTATCAATTAAACTAGATATTTTTCCTTTGCTCGCAAACGTGTTATAAGTTTTAATTAATCAAATAAAAACAGTCATGATGTTACAGTTATTATGAATGTTCTACCAGAACCATTATACTGAACTGGAAAGTAAGACTGTAAACAGACAGTACAGGTTCAAGGCAGTGTGGTAAACACACCCCGAAGATTATTCCACAGTGTGCTTCTTCACTGTTACTAACAGTACGCTATTTGGTGTCCCGTAGCTCGAGCGCTAGCGTACTCAGCTCACGCACTGAGGTCCGGGGGTCGATCCCCGGTACGGGGATCCTATTCACCTAGCAGTACAATAGCTACCTGGGTGTTAGCCGATTGGTGTGTGTCGTATCCGGGGACATAACTGACCTAATTTTCCCGAAATGCTCTGCATAACAAGGGGCTTTCTATAAAGTAGTATGTCACAGGTGTCAGCTATGGTCTGTATACCTTGTACATGTACTTATAGAAATAAATATTATTATTATTATTATCCAGCAGTATACCGTAGAAGTACTTTGGTATGGTCAACAAGCAGCTACAGCATCACAGCGCTCTCTGAGTCACCGGTTCCTGCCCTCCATTTGTAATCATTCCTCAAGAAATCCTAACAACACTGCCCTGTAATAATGTTGGTAGAATTACCGACAATATGTTAGGTAAAAGGACACATGTGGAACTACTGCCACAATAAAATGTCGCATTAGTTGCACTTATGTCCTTTACATAACACTGCCTACCTGGAGGGTATTCCGAGGATCAACGCCCCCGCGCCCCGGTCCACGACCAGGCCTCCCGGTGGATCACGGCCTGACCAACGAGGCTGTTATTGATGACCGCACGTAGTCCAACGTACGAACCACAGCCCAGCTGATCAGGCATCAACTTTAAATATCTGTCCAGCTCCCTCTTGAAGGTAGCCAGGGGCCTATTGTTAATTCCCCTTATGCCTAGTGGGAGGCTGTTGAACCGTCTTGGGCCCCGGACACTTAAGGTGTTTTCTCTTAGTGTACCAATGGCGCCCCTACTTTTCATTGGGGGTATTTGCATCGCCTTCCCAGTCTTTTATTTTAGTTGAGTGTGATTTCTGTGGGCAGATTCGGAACCATCCCTTCTAGGATTTCCCAAGTGGAGATTATATCTCTCTCTCGCCTGCGTTCCAGAGAGTACAAGTCAAGTGCTTCCAAGCTTTCCCAGTAGTTGAGATGTTTGACAGAACTTATACGTGCAGTAAAGGTTCTCTGTACACTCTCTAGATCTGCAATTTCACCTTCTTTGAACGGAGATGTTAATGTACAGCAGTATTCCAGCCTAGAGAAAACAACTGATTTGAAAAGGATCATCATTGGCTTGGCTTTGAACGTTCTCATTATCTATCCTATCATTTTCTTTGGAGTTTTAGGACTCAATTGCCACGGATTCAAACTCTGCCGGTTCCGTGTTTGTTTTTTACCTACAGCTGTACCTGGGTAACGAAGCCGTCCGAATTGGGCCGCGGGTTGTTGTTGTGGGTTCGCTGGTCAGTGCTATGGCCCCGTCCAGGATCCCAAGGGATCACAGGCGCCGACCTGAGGAAGGAATCGCGAACCTGATGTGAAGGATTTCTAAATATATATGACTAATATTTGTAAATGTGTAACTAAATAACAGAATCTGATAAACACCCATTGTGACCTCTGTAATCCTGATTTTTTGTGATGAACAAGACATGTGCAATACCTGGCTGCCATCATTTTGAAGACGTATCGCCAACCAGTGGCTTTTCCAGTTCGATACGGATATTGAATGGAAGATAGTGGAAGATGAGGTAATCAGTCTCGCAGCTTTGAAGAAGAAATTCAGTACCTTAGTTCTGATGACTCGGAAGCATCAAGACTAAAGGTACTAAAGACTTTCAAGGCTGAGAGACTGATGATCTCATCTTTCACCATCATCCGTCGAAATGACAAAATATCAACACGGGGGAAAAAAGACACAAACGTCTCTTTTTTCATCTCAGTATTGAATTGAAAAAGCCATTGGTACGTCTTCATAACGCAGATACCCAGGTGTTGCACTTTTGTCTAATTCATCAGATTCTCGGTATTGTATACTGTTATTGTTTTGACATTGACACCACTCACAGGATGATTACGGAGCGCACAATAAGGTAGCCGGTCAGGCAGCACAACAAACCAAACTGGCACATACAACATGGAGCAACACGAAGGACCTGCAGTAGGCCAACTTTATTCATGAAGGTTTGCTAGGACGGGTCCTGGCCTGGGTCTTTAACATGTGGTGACCCGGCAGACTCTCGAAAGAAATGTCAGTTTGTACTAGTACCGTTTACAGCTCTTTGGCTGGGACAGCTCTATGATAAAGGCACGGTCGCCTGCTGCAGTGTTTTTCCTTTATGTTGAAGAATTGAGACACTTATGCAACACATGGGAATCTTTATTGAAGAAACGTTTCGCCACACAGTGGCTTCATCAGTCCAATACAAAGTAGAAATGGGTAAGGAGAGTAGAAGTTTGAGGTAATCAGTCCCTCAACCTGGAATCGATGTGTTCAGTCCATCAGTCCATGGACTGAACACATCGATTCCAGGTTGAGGGACTGATTACCTCAAACTCCTCATCTTCTGCCTCTTTCTGCATTGGACTGAAGAAGCTATTGTGTGGCGAAACATTTCCAGGATAAAGATACCCATATGCTGTACATGTATCTCATTTATCAACTTCTCTTTTGTAAACCTTTCACATCTTGTCAGCGCGGGAAAAGCTTACACTGAGAGTACCCTGAAAGGGGGTTTGGCTGAAGTTCTGTTAGGTTAGTTTTGAGGAAACAAAATCGCCCCCAGGTGGGGGACTGATTACCCATTCCCCTCCCTTCCCTTCCCCTTTTTGTATTGGACTGTAAAAGCCACTGTGTGGCAAAAACTTTTCCCCAAAAAAAAGATTCCCTATGCTGCATAAGTGTCTAAATCGGGGGTTGAAATTGTAAAGGCCCTAAAGAAGGGGCCAACAGCCTATGCGTGTTCCCCCTTTCTTAATTTTATGTTTTTTTTTTGGGGCCACCCTGCCTTGGGGGAAAGGGCCGGTGTTAAAAAAAAAAAATGTCTAATCCTAGACAGACCGCTTCACTAGTGGTTTGTTCGTGGTGACTCCCCTCCACGGCCCCAACCTCATCGTCATCATATTTAAGCTTCATCTCCGCGAATATGCTGCACCCCCGTTACGTTAGACGTCAGCGTTGGGTTTTTAAACATACCTCCAAAAAACCCTTGAGTCTTCGGGCCCCGGGCTGGGGCCCCTGACTCCCAAGGGATGACTAACTGGAGTTAAAGGGAATCACGGCCCCCTTTGTCATGGGTTTCCCCCCCCTTGATCTGCAGAAGACTCACCGCGCCCTTGTCACGGGCTGCCCAGTCATGGGGCTGTAAATGATACTCACATATCCCAACCTCAATTCCCCCGGGGAGCCACTACCGGGGTCACCACATGGGGAAGCCCCGGGACCAGGACCCGTCCGGGAAAACCTCCCAAACAAAATGAAATGTTCACCTTTGCAAGATTGATGGACTGAACCCTACTCCCAGGCTGGGATGATTACCTCAACTCTCTTGTACCCCCTTTTGCACTGAACTGAAGAAGCCCCTTGGCGAAAATTTCCCGAAAAAAGATACCCAATGTTGCAAAACTGTTCATTTAAAAGCTTTGGGGAGGTTTTTGTGATGGACGTCCTGGCAGGGGGGATGTCACTGCGTCTTCCCGATCCTCAGTCTCACTGGGACATTTTTACGTATTAAAAAATCACCTTTCACTGTTGTACATTTACAAAATGACTCAAAAACTATTCAATAACTATTATTCCACGTTTTCTTTTAATATAATACCGATTGTCTTAAAAACCGACTAAAATAATCAAATGCAATTGTCGGGGGAAAATTTACATATTTAGTTCGCTCCTTTACCAAAATTGAAAGCAGATCTTTCCCAACCCTTTTCGGATTTCTCTCCCTTTTTTTCGCTCGTGTGAGACAATAAAACTGGATGGGCGAAAAGTCATCTGTTTTTCGTCTCCCATGTTTTGGATTAAAAGGTCAACATATTTTTTTGGGCAATGTATTCCACTGGTTTTAGGGGGGAAATTTGTGGGGTTTATTTCCCAATTATCACGGTTTTTTTTGATTGCTCTAGTTTTTGATAAAATTTTTTTATCACACAAAAAAACTATTTATGTGAAAAAAATATTTATCAGGCGGAGGAACTTACAAATCGTTTGAAATTTTTTTTTGCAGCTAAATCAAATCACGTAAAAGATACTAACTTTTCTAAATTTTTAACAGATTAAAATAGTAAAAAATCCGATACCACTAAATTTAAACTTTGAAAACGTTTCGATTTTTTTCTATTTGGGCATCAACACTGTCTGTTGGAGGCTCCCCCAATAGTCTGCGTCATGTGTGTATCCGATCTACCTTGATACCTTTTCCTCCATTACCTTTACCCTCTGTGTTCCATGTATTGGTTTGTCACGACTTGACAAAGCTCCTGGAGAGCGAAACGGTTGCACAATAAAATTGTCAAATTAGTTCACTTGTTTGGGCTTTTACCGAACACACTTTATTCGTGCTGGAGCCTCTGCCCGTGTTCCCTCACCGACCTCACTAAGTTATGTGGGATTCTGTGTTGTAGGTGGCTGTGGAGAAAGTATTCTTTATGCTTTATTAAGTACCTAAATTCTTGAAGCTTGTAGCATGTTTGAGCAAGTTCTTCATAATTTGTCTGCTTAGTGATTACACCAGATGTTGTTAGGTTAGACAACACATACAACAGTTAGAAAACTTTTTTTGTTGACTTATGTGTCTTACCTATCAACCTGTCCGGTTTTGTATACCATTTTGATGTTCAAACCAGAAGTTCGTGACAAGCTGACACACAGCTTCAATATGTGAGGACCATCAAGATTACAGCTTTCTGTTTTTTCCATACATAACTTAGTGCAAGGATCGATCTACAATTGTATTGAAGAAATACCATCTTTATCCAGTTCTTTAACGAATTGCTTTCATTACCAACTTACATGGATTGGTAGCAGCTGTTATCCTGTCAACTAATGACTCGTTATGATGTTTGTGAAACCTACACACTTATGTTTTCTCTTGAAGGTCATGTCTCTTTTGTCCAATGTTCTGCCTTCGTCTTACTGTCCAACAAATGTTGAAAAACATGGGTTACCTTTGTATTATCCACTTCTGTTGCCCAAAACAAAAAGCAAGGAGTTTACCATCTCAGATAAACACAGACATCGTGTGCTAATGATTAGCAAAGCTTCTGCAAAACATTCATGATATTTTCGCATTCTTCATTAAGTTTTAGTGAGCAACTGCAAAGAGATGCTTATGGTTACCATTGTGCACTAAAAAACATCTCAAGCTTTAATGGAGCTGTTCTATAAAAAAGGCGCTAATCTCCTGGTAATATTCAAGTCTTATTCGATGACGAAGTCCAGGGATGTTACTGCAGTATCAAGCTTCATCTTGGCTGAAAGTAAAGGAGTTAAATTTTTTTGCCCGATGCTGTTATTTTAACTTTTTGTTGTAGAAATTTTTGTCTGGTGCTAAAAGTTCAGATGTTGTTTGACAGCTGTAAAAACCGATCACAGGGGTTTTCTGGGGAGAACTGTTTGGGGCGATGAATGCTTGTTTGTTTATATTCACCCCAAATGTTCACCCTAAACCCTGACTTCTTCAAATCTGAAAAGGAAGGTCAGGTGTGCTGAAAAACGGGTTAAAAAAAAGTCTTCACTGTGGCAAGGTCTTTTTGCTGACCCCAAATAGGATACCCCTTTTTGTTTTTTGTACTGCTGAAAACCCATTCCTTCCCCTTACATTTCCCTTTTGAATGTAGGTATGCAATATCTCCCCAATTGACCCAATTTGAAAAACCTACTGCCTTTTTCCAATTCAGAAACCCCCCCAAAATACTCAAAATCCCTTCAAATCTTTGTCAACTTTTTTTTGTTGCCAGGTTATTGTTAAGTTCTTCGGCAGGAATTGTGATCATTCCCCAAACAGAATGATTAGATTTTTGGTTTTTAAAAGAAAAAGTGTTACAAAATTTGTTGTGGGGTTCCGGGGTTTTTGTGTGTACCCCCAAGCTAGCGATCCCCCCAGATGGAGCGTGGGGCGGGGCTCAAACGGGTCATCAACATCAGCCCCCTCTCCAGCCACTGGGCCCCCTGTGGGAAATTTAAACCAATTCGAGGTTGGGGAAAAACGGGGTTTAGTGATCCAAAAACAATCAATGCCTATAACTGGAGGCTTCAAACATCACTGTTAAAATGGCCTCTGCCTGCCACTTTCCCTTTTATATTCAGCAGACGTAAGAACCCACTGGAAAAAAGTCATTTGTCTGATTTTTTGGGGTTATCCTTGGAAATTTTTAACATTTGTTACTATGAAAAAAGTTACAGAAAAAAGTGATTTCAGTAGCGAACAACCCTGTAAAAAAAACAGTAAATTTAAGGTTTTCTGTTTTTTCACTTTCTTTGATAATGTGGAAACCACAAAAAGCGGGGAAGTCACAATTTTTCACAGGGGGTTTTTTTGACTAGTTACTTTTTATGACAATTTCCCAACATCCGAAAAGGGTGTACGTTTTCTTATGTCAGTTTAAAAACTGATTTAAAATATTTTTTTTTATTACTTAAATGTTATGGCTTTAAAAAAATGTGACTTTTTTCCTAGCCAAATTATGCCCTTTTTTTTTTTAATGACTTTCTCTAGCCAAAACTGTGACTTTTTGATTTTTTTCCCCGTGACTTATTTTGGACAGGGTGTTGCGGTGTGTTTGGGCTCTCACGTACCTCCACATCGAGCCTGGGTCTGGTGGGGGGCGGGGGGAGTGGTGGTCACGACGAATTGTCCATTATATTGTTGACGTCGTGCTCGTGTGCCCCCCCGAAAATAAGAAAATATTTGAGTGGAGGAACACTGCAGAATCTACTGGTCCATACAGGGGGCGGTCCTTTTCAAAAAAAACCCCGTTTTGCATTGGGATTCAGGGACCCCCCTAGAAATAAGTCATAACTTTTTGGGGTTATCTTAGGTAATCTACAAAAAAGCTGCAAGTATGAAAAATTTAATGTAACTTATCCCGAAAAAACCATTGGGGAATAGAATATTGAATTTCCCCGGGAGTTTCGTGTTTTCTCACTTTCCCTTATAATGAAAAAAACCCACGAAAGCGCTGGGTTTTCACTTTTTTTTTCACAGTGATTAGTTTTTCCATATTGTGATATCCCCTGTTTACTGTGCATTATTGAAATTATGTAATGTATTTATGTATACTTTTACATTAAGAATTTTATAGCCTTTTCCCCAAAGCTACCCAAGAATCGCTTCTGAAACCCACGCCCACCAATCAAACCCAGCTCCCCCCTTTCATATATTTTTTTCCAGTATCTTTTTAAAAAATAGTTTCCCCAAAAGCGTACAAAAAATTTTCCCTTTATTTTTTTAAAGGGGGGAAACCGTAAGCCCGGAAGGCCTGGGTAGGATGAACAAAAAGTTTGTGGTAGCAGGTTTTTGTGGGAAAAAGCCCCTTGTCGGGAAAGTATTTGACCTAATTCTTGACGAGTCTTACCTAACAGGAGGGGGTTTGTGATTTGGACTTGCCTAGAAGGGCCCATAGGCCTGCTGCGTGCCCCCTTTTTCTTTTTTTAATGAGCGTTTGGAAAAAAATTCCCAAAGGAACTGGGGGCATCAAAATTAAACAAATATTTTCTGGGGGTTATTTGGGGTTAAAAAGGGTTAATAAAACTACATGGGGTAAATTAAAAACAACATAAGGGTCTTTAAAAACTGCAAAAAAGTCTTTAAAAAACCACATAAGGGAAACCCCCCTTTTTTATCCCCCAATCAAAATTACGTTAATCCCAAAACTAGGGATTATAGTAAACACACGGTGAAAATGTAATGAAGACATACACCTTTCAGTGTATATGTCCTAGCTGAACCTTGTCACCGGGAGGAAATAAAAAAAAAACAGAAAAAGAAGAAAAAAACAGGAGAGTTTGTTAAAATTCTTCTACAGTAATTGAAGGACCTGGTGAAGAGCTCAGTGTTGTGACTTTACTGGGTTAAACCTGCAGAATGTACTATAATAATACCTGTGCCAGTCGCTCGAGTGTTGAGTCCAGACCCATGGTGAAGGCCTCCTGGCGTAGGCTGGAGTGTGACAGTAGGCTGTACAGGGCACCCGTCACATATGGCACCACCTTTGTAAACAAGGAATCCAAGATATAATAATAATAATAATAATAATAATAATAATAATGAATAAATATGATGACAATGAATAAGAATAAACAGTAGCAGTAGCAGAAGTATTATTATTATTATTATTATTATTAGTAGTAGTAGTAGTAGTAGTAGTAGTAGTAGTAGTAGTAGTAGTAGTAGTAGTAGCAGTAGTAGTAGTAGTAGTAGTAGTAGTAGTAGTAGCAGTAGTAGTAGCAGTAGTAGTAGTAGTAGTAGTAGTAGTAGTAGTAGTAGTAGTAGTAAGTAGTAGATAGTAGTGTAGTAGTAGAGTAGTAGTAGTAGTAGCAGTAGTAGTACTAGTAGCAGTAGTAGTACTAGCAGCAGAAGTAGTAATATTAGTATTAGTATTATTATTATTATTAGTAGTAGTAGTAGTAAAGTAGTACAATTAGTGGTAGTAGTAGTAGTAAAGTAGTACAATTAGTGGTAGTAGTAGTAGTAGAAAACCAAGTGAATGAGTTACGTGAGTTTGGACGGAGGTGAGAAGTTGGATGAGCGCCGGGAGAAGTTTGGCTGCTAGTGGGTGGCAGCGAGCACGACCAGCGGAGCGCAGTGTTAGGTTCATGAAGAGTGCTGATGCATACTCCTGAGTGTAGGGTGTGAGGGTGCGCACCTCTGCCAGGGTATTCACTAGCCATTCCACAGCACCACCCTCGATCAGCGCCCCCTGCACCACACCCCTGTACCATAACAAGAGGTGCCAACTGTCAGTATGCCTTCGTAATAACATTATAAATTCGTTCAGGGATCAACGCCCCCGCGGCCCGGTCCGTGACTAGGCCTCGCGGTGGATCAGAGCCTGATCAACCAAATATTTCACAAAAAAAGCTAAAATTCGTGCAGGTGATTCGTGATATCGGAATTCCGTGATTGGATTTAAATCCTGTTTGGTGTATAAGAATCCATGTGGATCATTCAGCTAAAAAAAAAATCGTGATTGTTCAGTCCACCGTTCACATAATTAAGATTATTTCAGCATAATACAATGTTGTACAGAGGTGAATAATATTTTCTTGTGCATACAGAAAACCCTTTAATATGCAAGGATATCGGCCAACCTTAACACTAACTTAACACTAATATAACAATATCACTGAAAATGAGTTGGGCAAATATTTTTGTAAGTGGGTTTGGGTTTGAGAAGGACCTGCCTAGTATGGGCCAGTAGACCTGCTGCAGTGTTCCTCCATTCTTATTTCCTTCTATACCGTCTCTAAGTGGTTGTAACAATAAATTTAGGGAATTACAAAGCGCCCCAAAAGAACTGAACATTATCAATCCCTGTTATTATAACATACGTCAAGTAGCCACCTTATAGAAAGTTTCTGTAGAGCCCGCCCCGAGCCCTTTTCTGTTTGGTTGGGTTGGCGTCCCGGTGAACCCCCATGTAGGCCTGCAGTAGCAAATCAACACTTCCCCCGCGACAAAAACAAGGGAAAGTAGCAGAAACAACAATCACCATAAACCGATCCTTTGAATTTTCAACTCCTTTACAAAAAGGGCCCAATATGTTTGTAGTTTTCCCAAAAAAGTGAACAATGATAAAAGATGCCCAAAAAAACCTAGGGGGGGTTGGGGAAAAATTGCTTTAGGCTTTCCTTTTTGCGGGCAAAAAATCAAAAACTTTCAGTGTTTCGAAATGGTAGGAAATCCCAAACAGATTTTTTTTTAAATTAAAATTTTTTTGGGAGGACAAAAACGTTCCCCGAGCGAATCTGCAAATTTTTTTAAATTCCCAATGGGGTTGGGTGGCAACACGAAAAGGCCCCTTTGAGCTAAACATTTAACTTCCCCCCCGGTTGTTTTTGCGATGGTGTATATTTTATAGTTATGAGTAGGCTTGGGTTTTGGGGCACCCGGCCCAGGTAGCCTTTCCCGGGCCCGCATTGAAGGGGAGTTGGGGCGTTATGGGGTCCCCTTGCAGCGACGGGCCCCGGAGCTTGAAATCGGGTTCATTAAGGCGCCCGGGCCCTTGGAAAAGACCCCAGGAACGCTGATCCCAAAAAGACCATTCCCTTTACCCCCGGACAAAACGCCGTCACCACCGCCCCGCGTACACTTTCCCGCCGTTTACCCCGTGTCAACGCTGGCAACAAAAAAAAATGAGAAAATGACAACCATCAAAAGGGCTAAGAAGGGTTTGCAGGAACAAGGGAGACCCCAAAAAACAAAAACATACAAGATCTTTGGGAAAGGGAGCAAAGGGAAAAAGAGGAGACAATTTAAAAACAAAAATACAAGTCCCTTGGGTTTGCAAAGGGAAAAAGAGGGAGACATTTAAAAAAAACATACAAAGTGAATTAGAATGATTAAAAAAAGAAAAAAATTAAATTTTCTTCAGATCATCACGAGAGAAAACAAAAGACACAGCTTACAAAATTGATTTAAAAAAAAAACAGAAGCTTTAAAGGGGTTTTCTTTTCAAAAAAATGGTGGAAAATGGACACGTTAATTAGTTTGGTAAAAAAGTTTAAAACCTTGAAAAAAAAAATTTCCCACGGTTGATTTAAAAGGGAAAGGACGGGGGACATGCAACAACATTGTTTTTGAAATTTAAAATCCGTTTCCGGGAAATGGAAAAAATAAATAAAATACCCGCCATAGGACAAAAAAATGGGCGCGTTTCGGTTTCGGCTAGTTAATGGGGCCCAAGGGTTTACCCGGGAAATGTCATAAGTGTCTTTCTCCCCTTTTGGGGGTTTTCTGTGGGGAAAAGCATTGTTTTGCTCTTGGGGCTGAAGACAGCTTACAGGTCACTTGCCTCTTTACACATAGTCAAACCACCCCAACAATAGTTCCCTAAGCTTCCCCCCGTTTCAAAAATCCGTACAAATTGTATTTGTGACAGGGGAAAACAAAAACCCGTGCATCAAAGGGATTTAAAAAACTTTTTTGCCATTGCAAAGGGGAATTTCCCCCTTTGGCAACCACGTTTTAAAAAAATGTTTTGTGTGTTTTCATTCGGTTTGGGGGGAAATATTTAAATTAAAAATATTCAACTCTGGCAAAAAAATGAGGAAGAACCATTGAAAAAGGTCTATGGTTTACGATAATATTTATCCTTCACTAACCCCAGCTTATAGCTAAAGTCCAGACGGGTGTGGTTTTAGCTCTACAGACTTTTACACTAAAAGTTTTGTTGGGCAGTGGTGATGGTTTTCTTTTTAAAATAAATGAAACTTTTGTTTTTCCCCTTTCCCTTTCATCAAAATTTTTTCACCTCTCATTCCCACGGGCTGTATGGGCCCCCAAGTTGGGAACTTCCCTTTGGGGTTAAAAACATTAACATGGGAGCATTCCACCAAATCCCAAAAAGAATGGCTTAGTCAAGTCCCCAGGTTTTATAAAACGAGCCCCAAATCAATCATTTTCGCTTTCATTCAAAAGATTTTTAATGAATACAAGGGACTTAATGTCTGAAGGCCCCCTGTAGGAGCGCAATTCGTGTTTTCTAGGAGCGGGAGCAGGTCCCGCACGTACGGACTGGGGGAAAACTTGGGCGGGTTTCGGGAGCCGGAAAAACCCGGGCCGGCCCAGACACTGTGCATCCCCACTCCAAATAGGATGGTCGCTGGACCCGCCTGGAGGAAAATGGTGGTGGTACAGTCAGAGTGGAGGTGGTACAGTAAAAGAGGAGGGGGTACCGGGCAGAGAGGGGTGGTTGGGAGTCAGGGGTTTTGGGGGTTTTAAGTCAGGAGGGGTGGTGGTTCAGTCAGAGAGGAAGGTTGGACAGGGCAGAGAAAGGGGGTGGGTTTCAGTCAGAGGGTTGGTGGTTTCGTCAGAGGGGGTGGTGGTTTCGTCCCGAGGGGTGGTGGTCAAGTCAGAGAGGAAAGGTTTGGTTTCAGTCAGAAAGGGGTTTGGGGGTTCGTCAGGGGGGTGGACAGTCAGGGAGGAGGTGTGCTGGGGAGTGGGGTTTGGTTTGGGACAGTCGAGGGGGTGGGTGGTACAGTTTAGAGAGGAGGTGGTACAGTAAGGGGGGAGGGGTGCGAGGGGTTGGGGGGGTTTGGTTCGTCAGAGGGGGCCGGGGTGGTAAAAGTCGAGAGGAGGTTTTTGGGGACAGGGCAGGAGGAGGTGGTTGGCCCGTCCAGAGGGTTGGGGGTTCGGACAAAAGGGGGGTGGTGGTACATTTAGGGGGTTTTGGGGGTTTTCAGTCAGGGGGAGGAGGTGGTTTCAGTAGGGGGTTGGGGGTACCGTCAGAAAGGGGGGGGTGGTACAGTTTTAGAGGAGGAGGTACAGTAAAAGGGAGGGTGGGTTTCGGTCAGGGGTTGGTGGTTACAGGGCAGGGGGGGGGGGGGTGGGACAGTAGAGAGGGGGGTGGTTTCAGTCAGTGAGGGGGGGGTGCAGTCAGAGGGGGTTTGGGGGTAAAAGTAAGGGGGGGTGCGGGGGTTTCAGTCAGGAGGGGTGGTACAGTTTTGAGAGGGGTGGGTTTCAGTTGGGTTGGTGGTACAGTCAGAGGGGTGGGTTTGGGACAGTCAGAGAGGAGGGGGGTTAAAAGTCAGAGAGGGGGGGGGGGTGAGTCGAGGGTTGGTTTGGGACAGTCAGGGGGGGTGGTGGTTCCCGTCAGGGGAGGGGGGGTGCAGTCAGAGGGGTGGTGGGGTTCAGTCAAGGGGGGGTGGTGGTGCCCGTCAGAGGGGGGGGGTGGTACCGTCAGAGGGGGGGTGGGGGTTCAGTTCAGAAGGGTGGTTTGGTTTTCAGCGAGGGGGGTGGTGGTACAGTCAGAGGGGGGTTGGGTACAGTCGAGGGGGGTGGTGGTTTTTAAATCGGAAAAGGGGGTGGTTGGGTACAAGGGGGCCCCGAGGGGGGGGTGGTGGTACCGTCAGGGGGTGGTTTGGGAAAGGGCAGAGGGTTGGGGAGTACGTTAGAGGGGTGGTGGGGACAGTCAGGGGGTGGTGGAAAAACAGTCAGAGGGGGGTTGGGGGGTACAGTCAGAAGGTTTGGGGGTTTCCCGTCAGAGGGGTGGTGGTACAGTCAGAGGGGTGGGGGTACAGTAAAAGGGGGTTGGGGGGTTCAGTCAGAGGGGTGGGTGGTACAGTCCCGTTGGGGGGTGGTTGGTTCAGTCAGTGGGGTGGGGGGTACAGTCAGGGGGGGTGGTGGTCAAATCCCGAGGGGGGGTGGTACAGTCGTGGGGGGGTGGGGGGTGGGACGTCAGAGGGGTGGTGGTACAGTTCCCGGGGGTGGTGGTTCTTCCCGGGGTGGGTGGTACCCGTCGGGGGTGGTGGTACAGTCCGAGGGGTGGGTTTGGGACAGTCAACGGGGTTTGGGGGTACAATCAGGGGGGGGTGGGGTACAGTCGGGGGGTGGTGGTACGTCGGGGGGTTGGTTGGGCAGTCAGAGGGGTGGTGGTTTCAGGGCGAGGGGGGTGGTACAGTCAGGGGGTTTGGGGGTACGTCAGGGGGGTTTTTGGTTTACAGTCGAGGGGTGGTGGTACAGTCAGAGGGGGGGGGTGGTACAGGGCAGAGGGGGTTTGGTTTGGTTTCAGTCGGGGGGGGGGTGGTGGTGGTTCAGTCAGGGGTTTGGGGGTAAAGTCAGGGGGGGGTGGGGGGTAAGTCAGGGGGTGGGGGGTTCTCAGTCAGAGGGTTTTGGTTTTGGGACAAATCAAAAGGGGGTGGGGGGGTACCCCTCAGAGGGGTGGTTGGTTTCAGGGCAAAGGGGGGGTGGACGTCGGGGGTGGTGGACCAGTCAGGAAAAGGGGGTGGTTCAGTCAGAGGGTTGGGTGGTACAGGGCCGAGGGGTGGTTTGGGGCAGTCAGGGGGTGGGGTGGGTACAGTCACGAGGGTTTTGGGGGGTTTCCCGTTAGAGGGGGGTGGTACGTCAGAGGGGTGGTTTGGTTCGTAAAAGGGTTGGTTTGGGCAGGGCAGAGGGTGTGGTGGTACCCTTCCCGAGGGGTGGGGGTTAAAATTTAGGGGGGGTGGTGGGGTTTCAGTCCCGAGGGGTGGTTTGGTTTCAGTCAGGGGTTTGGGGGTAAAGTCAGGGGGGTGGGTGGTACCCGTAGAGGGTTGGGGGGGTCCCGTTCAGAGGGGTGGTGGTACAGTCAGAGGGGGGTGGCTGGGGGGTTTTGGTTGGCAGGGGGGGTGGTGGAACCCGTAAAAGGGGGGGTGGTGGTACAGTCAGGGGGGGTGGGTTTTGTCCAAGGGGCGGGGGTTGGTACATTCCCGGGGGGGGTGGTGGTACGTAAAAGGGGTGGTTTGGTTACCTTTTGAGGGGGTGGTGGTCAGTCCCCGAGGGGGGTTGGGGGGTACTGTTTAGAGGGGTGGTGGTTTCAGTCAGGGGGGGTGGGGGTACAGTCGAGGGGTGGTGGTACAGGGCAGGGGGGGGGGGTGGTGGTTCAGTCAGAGGGGGGTGGGGACAGTCAGAGGGGGTGGTTTACGGGCAAGGGGTGGTGGTACAGTCAGGGGGGGGGCGTGGGGGGGGTACAGCGAGGGGGGTTGGGTTACAGTCAGAGGGGTTTTGGGGCACAGTCAGGGGGGGTTTTGGTACCGTCAGAGGGGTGTGGGACAGTCAGGGGGGGGTGGTGGTAAGTCAGGGGGTGTGGTTTCAGTCAAGGGGGGGCCGGGGGTTGGGGGGTGGTACAGGGCAGAGGGGTGCTGACAGTCAGAAGGGGGGGGTGGCCACAGTCAGGGGGGGTTTGGGAAGGTACAGTCAGAGGGGGTGGGGGGTTTTCCGTTGGTTTGGTTTTCAGCAGAGGGGGTTTTTGGTACGTTCCCGGGGGGTTGGTGGGGACCCGTCGGGGGGGTTGGTTGGGCAGTCGAGGGGTGGCGGGTACAGGTCGGGGGGTCTTGGGGACAGTCAAGGGGTGGTGTACAGTCAAAAGGGGGTTTGGGGGTTACAAATCAGAGGGGTTTGGGGGTACGTAAAAGGGGGGTGGTTTTCAGTCAGGGGGGTTTATGGTTTTCCCGGGCAGGGGTTGGTGGGGACAGTTTTGGGGGGGTTGTACAGTCAGAGGGGTGGTGGTGCGCAGGGGGGGGTTTTGGTACAGTCAGGGGGGTGGTGGTACAGCAGAGGGGGGTTGGGGACAGTTAGGGGGGTGGGGGTTCCCTCAAATGGGGGGGGTGGGGACAGGTTTAGGGGGGCGTTAAGTGGGGGGGGTACAGTTTAGGGGGGGTGGTTTGGGACAGTCAGTGGGGGTGGGGTACAGTCAGTGGGGTGGTGGTACAGTATTTTGGGGGGGGGTTTGGGACAGTCAGGGGGTTGTGTGGTTTTTGTCAGGGGGGGGTGGTTACAGTCAGGGGGTGGTGGTTTTTTACAGTCAGTGGGGCTTGGTACCCGTTTAGAGGGGGGTGGTCGGGTACAGTCAGTGGGGGGGGTGGTTTAAATCAGGGGGTTTTTTGGTTTCCGGGCGGGGGGGTGGTTTGGGACAGTCGGGGGGGGGGTGGTACGGCAGTGGGGTGGTGGTACAGTCGTGGTGGGGGTGGTGGTTTTAAGTCAGTGGGGTGATGGTTCAGTCCCGTGGGGCGGGGGGGGTTTCCGTCTGTGGGGTGGTGGTACAGTCAAAAGGGGGGTGGGTGATTGGTTTCAGTCATGGGGGTTGGTTTGGGAAAAGTCAGGGGGTGGTTGGGACAGGGCAGTGGGGGGGTGGTACAGTCAAGGGGGGGGTAATTTGGGGGGGTGGGTGGGTGGTACTTTTCGTGGGGTGGGTGGTAAAGGGCAGAGGGGGGTGAGGGACAGTCAGGGGGGTGGTGGACAGTCATTTGGGGGGGTGGTCGTCAAGGGGGGTGGTTTGGGTTTTTTCCGGGGGTGGTGGTACAGTCAGGGGGTGTGGTTGGTACAGTCAGTGGGGGGGGTGGTTCAAATCAGGGGGTGGTGGTTCTTTGGGCCGGGGGCGGTGGTGGTACAGTCAAGGGGGGTGGAATTGGGGGGGTAATGGCGAGGGGTTTTGGTGGTAAAGTCAGTGGGGGGGGGTGGGTTAAGTCAGTGGCCCGGGGGGTTTTGGGACATCAAGGGGGGGGTGGGTTTCAGGGCAAAGGGGGGGGGTGGGGAAGTCAAAAGGGGGGGGGTGGGGGTTTAAATCAAATGGGGGTGGTGGTACAGTCAAGGGGGGCGGTGGGGGGGGGGTACAGTCAGAGGGGTTTGGGGGTTTAAAAGGGTTTTTTTAGTGGGGGGGTGGTGGTTTCAGTTTAAGAGGGGTGGTGGTACGTCAGTGGGGTGGTTTTGGGGGACAGTCCCGAGGGGGTGGTTTTGGTACAGTCAGGGGTGGTGGTAAGGTTGGGGGTTGGTGGGGGGGTTTAACGGGCAGGGGGTGGTTTGGGACAGTCAGGGGGTGGGGGGTACAGTCAGTGGGGGGGGGTTTGGGACAGTTTAGTGGGGTGGGGTGGGACAGTCAGGGGGGTGGTGGTTTCAGTCAGTTTGGGGGGGTGGTACAGTCAGGGGGGGGGGTGGGTGGGGTGGTACAGTCAGGGGGTGGTGGTTTCGTCAGAGGGGTGGTGGTTTCAGTCAGGGGGGTGGTGGTACCCCGTCAGTGGGGTGGTGGTACAGTTTTGGGGGGTGGTGGTACAGTCAGTGGGGGGTGGTTAGGGCAGAAGGGGGGGGGGTGGTACTGTCAGGGGGTGGTTTGGGACAGTCAAAGGGGTGTGGGGGTACAGTC